ATTAAAAGTTATACTTCACGGTTTTTGTTTTCATTTGAGAAATGAAATTTCCATACACGATATCATAAAATGTTCCGTTGAATTAAACACAAATTTAAAGTATACAAATGAGGAACAATCTAATTTACGTCGACTTCGTAAGAAATTATTGATTAATTAATTATTCAAATAAATATTAGATTTAAAGATTTTGAAAAAACTAGAGTTTGTTGAAATAATAAATGAAAAAATGTTTGCATCATATAAAATTCATTTTCTAGAAAAAAATTAAGACTACTTTTTAAATACTATCCAAATATTTTTGATAATGATCGTCTAAAAAATGAACTTTACATAATATATGCAAATCCATTGAAATATTTCGCTCCTTTAAAATTTATTGATTTTATATTTAAAATTAAGAACCTGAAATATTTCTTAAATATTTTTAATAATTTTTTAAATAAATTATAATTATGGTAAACATCATTTTAGATGAGCTTCAAGAAGTATATCAAGAAGTCACGAAACTTATTCAATTAGTATTAACTATTCCTGCAACAACAGCTTCAAGTAAAACATCCATGAGTACTTTAAAACGTATCAAATCCTTGTAAAGAAATTCAATGACAAATTATAGGCTTTCATCTTTGTCTACTTTAGCTATCGAAAAAAAATGTTAGGTGAACTATCAAAAGATCCAACATTTATAAATATTGTAATAGATGTATTCGCAACAAAACAAAATTGGCGAACTGATTTAAATTAGGTATATATTAAAATATATTTATTTTACGTAATTTACTTTTTTTATGTTGATCTAGTTTTTAAATAAATTTTATATAACACCATATATTTGGTTGTCTTGTTATCTACCCTATAAAATTGTTCACGCGTCACCACTGATAATAAATCAACCAGTTAGATATACACGATTACTATTAATACAAGGACCTTAATAAGGACATAGTGTAGATAGTTATGGAATGTAGCCAAAATCTCTATTATCAATCACATCAAGATATTTCAATCTCTGCTCATAATTTCTAAAGCTTCATTCTGTTCCCAACTGCACTTTTCACTCTGACCCAAGAGTCCAAAATTTAACCAAAATAGCTAAACAACATTACAAACGTTATATTATAATTATCTTAAGACTAATTTATCATAGAATTTTATAATTTCATGCAATCCCAAAAAAGACTCAAATGACAGTGATATAATTGGGGATTGTGAATTTGGAAAAAATAAGCATTTTCTGCAGTAGTTTGGTAGGGCTAAGGAAGTAAGATTAAATTAGGTTTATGAATAAAATATTTAAATTACAAATTAAACTGTTAACTTCTATTTCATGTTGTAATACCACAAAAAAAAGTATAATACAATCAACTATCAAAAAATTATAGTAGCAAGGTCATTGATGTTTTAAAGTTGAATGAAACGTTACAAAACGTTCCATATTGTCATGTTATTATTGTTATCAATTATAATACAAATAATATTGATATTTCATATCAATCAGCCATTTCACGTCTTCAAGATAAACTATTTTTTTTCCTATGTAGAATTTGTAAAAACCATAGAAAAATGTCGAGAGGGGGGTCACAACCCCCAAACATCACCCCTAGTTGCGCCACTGAATAAAAGTAATACTTAAATAATAAATAATGAAATGTACATCAATTAACAATTAATATACATTTGTTACATTGTGTATTTAAGTACTGAGTTAAGATATATAAATACATTTTTAACTTTTGAGAAATTTCAAAAATAAAAAAGGTTTTATCGAGGACAACTTAAATTCACCTATATTATTTTAAATACATAAATTTTAATGTTTATAGGCTAAAAAACTAAAAACCATCTATGAATTTATCAGTGCTCATATTTAATACTGTATAATATACTGTATGTAAAATTAAATTGGAAATTTAATGATTGATAAACATATCGGGGTGAAAAATATATGAAAACTAACTGAACTAGTAGCTATTTAAGACAAACATTTATAGTTAAATTTATAAATTGATGTGGAGTCAAAAAAAAAGTTAAAAAAAAAATTCTACATAATATGTTTAAAGACAAGTGTAATAGAATTACATTTAATATTAATTAAATAAATAAATTAATATTATTACTTAAAAGCAAGACTGGGTTAATCTAAAAAAAAAGTTAGTTAAATTAAATTTCAACCAATACATTTTTATAACTTTGTTAAATTAAAAATCAAAGGATAAATAAGTTTTATACACTTTCTCATCAATAATATAAAAAGAATTTCTACTAATAATATCAATTTAGATATTTTTTTAAGCCCACAGTTACATGTATTTTCAGAAAACAGATTATTGAGTATTTGATCAACTCTTTCACCTAAACTAACCAATTATCAAAGGGGTAGATAGAGTTAAAACAACTTGTATTTTTTAACCATTAATATAACTATAAATGTTGAATGTAATTATTTTTATAAATACAAGTGGTATTATATTATTAATATAATACTTCAATATATGGTATACCTATTCCATACATATATATCCATATTAAATCTATTTATTCACTCCCATTTATTTTTTTATGAATAATGTAAGAACAGTTTTCATTAAACACATACAAAATCTTAAGTAAATACCTAAATTAATTCTTCTCAATTTAATTATTTTATTATTATACCAATTATTGTACTTATTTTCTTTACAGAGCCATACTCAATAGGTATTTTCTTGGTTATGATTACAACTTATTATGTTCCATCCTAAATTAACTCTTATGTTTATTTTAAATTGCTAACATATTAATATATACAATGAAGATTCAATAAAGCAAAACATAATTATATGGATAATTGATTCACATAAAAAAAAAATTTAATTTTTTTACTTCTGTATAAAATTAACTTAATAGTTAATACATTACATGTATTAAAAATGTAATTTAATAAATTAAAAGTTAATTCTAAAATAAAATAACAAATAGTTAACTTAACAATTTAACTTAATTAAATTTTTAGATTGTTAATGCCCAGTGTCACTTAAAAAAATATTAAACAAATTTTTATTAATTAAATAAAAATAAAAAAATTGAAATCGAAATTTACAAATTGTTTGCAATTTATAATTTAATTTAATGATTGTATAAACATTAAGATTATTTCAAAATTATCTAAATAGAAATTATTAGATTACAAAATAATGTAAATAATAATTTAATTTTTGTTACATTTTATTCTAGTACTTTGTTAAAAACTGTTAACTTCTGTATAAAAAATATCTTGTTGTTCTAAATGAACTTGAAGATAATCAACACTTACATTTAGGGATTTTCAGTACTTTTTAAACAATTATTTAAAACCGTAGGTACATAATTTATTGCAGTACAAGATTCTGAATCTTATGGAAAAAAATATAGTTTTTGTTTTAGACCATGATAAGTACAATTACAATACTCATTTTTAACAAAAATAAACATACAGATAGAGAAATTAAAATTAATAATTAGTATAGCAATTCTCAAACTATAAGGTGCGACTCCCAAGGGAGGCGCAAGGGAAATATTTATATTATATATGATACTATTATATATTTATTATTCGATCAACAATAATTTGCTTATATTAAAAAAATAAACATGTATTATTGGGCCGCGATTAATTTTTTTTTTGTTACGGGGATGTGTGATCCAAAAGTTTGGTAACTACTGAATTAGGATATTATACATTTTTTGAAAACTAATTTGTTTGAATATGTTTAAAAAAATTTGTTGAATCTAATGAAACTCCAAACATTGCTTTGCACTAATGATTAATACATTTTTAAGAAAAAAATTTTTTTTTTTTTTGTACATATTATATTTTATTCAATCTGTTTCAAAGAGAACAATAAGAATAATTGATAATATAGAATAAGTTAAAATAAATAAAAATAAAAAAGCAGATTAAACAGTTTGCAGAGGCCTCCCATTGGAGGTACTACGGACATAAGTAGGATTTATTTAGAGGCTAGCTGGTCGTGACACCACTGTCTCTTTAGTCTTTTAATTTGGTTACCGGGAATAGAAGCAGATGATAGGTCAGAAATTAAGGGATTTGTATGGTATGCTAGACAAGAATAATTTTAAATTTATTTTTGTAACCTGAGCTAAATTTGTCATTTTAACAGATAAAGGGCAGATATATTTTCTTACAGATGAATATATAACTTAAGTACTAAAATATTCATTTTATTTAGAATTAATTCTGAATTGGGATTGGAAAAACTTGTAAAACATTTATAATTTTATCATATAGACTCCTATAAGTGCAAAACATTTCAATAAAAGATAGGATATTTGGTTCAAAAACCACATGAATAATAACACTGAACAGATAGGATGCATGAGTACTAGCCGCATTAACACTATATATGATAATGATTGTGATAAGAATATGATTAAATATGATAATATAATAAATTACTTAGTAACTGGTAATTTATTCATTGCAATATTACAATAAAACAACAAGTTAAAATAACAATCTTATAAACTTTAACACTAATAGTTCTTGAAGATCTAAGTCTAAGAAGTCTTCTTAAGGTATACAAAAATCTTAATGGCTTGTTTTGGCTATTATTTTAATTCAAGACAAGGATTCAAGAAAATTAAATCAAGAAATCAATATTATAATAATAGTCAGTGTTTTACATTAGTTATCAAACGATCTACTAATAAATCAAAGCAACAGCAATGATAAGAATAATAAGCTACATTTTATACTCCAAACGTAAAAATAAATATACTATGTATATTTATATACACACACCATATATCGACCAGAACATTTCAGGCATATACTATTTATTGATAGTGGACTATAAATTATATTGATTTAAATTTTTAAAACTAGTGCCTTAATTGGTATAACACGAGATCAACATAAAACTTCTCCCAGATGATCTCGGAAGGCAACATAAAGCATTTCCTAGCACTATGCCGAATCAAGTTCGAACCAAAGGGTACGCCTAATTCAATACACTAACCTCTTTCGGCTCGCTGCCACGCCAACGCGGAGCACAACAATGCCAAGGTCTTGCCAGATCCCGTCGGACTTTCCAAGAGACAGTTCTGTTGCTTCTGACAGCCACGGATGACCTGCAAGAACGAAACACGACAGTCACCATCGGCGGGGAGGGCGCGCGTGGTCAGCTTACCTTGTCCATCATGGACACCTGAGACGGGTATGGTTTAACGGGCATCTCGATCTTGACGCCACCGATCGTGTACGTGTACAACGGTGGCACGGCCGGATCGGACATCGTGGGTGGAAAGATAGACGCGTACCACTCGTGCGGATCGGGTGAACTCGACCGCGAATCGGACCGACAAGGGCCTATCAACGGGACGGGGTCGCGGAAACGATTTCGAACGGGACGTGCACGGCACCAGGAAGGGACACCGTGGTCGGATGGACAGAGGACATTGCGGTCGTCGTCACGCGACGTAAGCGATTTCCCGGCAGCGGCTGTCGGGGTATCGGACGGTTGATGGTCGAAAAATCGTTGGCCAAGTCAAACCGGTACGAGGTGATCGACGGCGGTCGTTATCGGCACGCACGTTCCGTTATCAGCCGGTGGTGGAGATAAGGCGAATTTCGGCGGGAAAGCGTCCGAACGCGCGCTAACCGCCCGCACAGATAGCGCTGCATACACCGTTTTCATATTAATCGTGTTCGACGCGGACGACGAAGATGATCGCAGGGATCGAAATCCAGCGGCCGTGCAAGGAGTTTGATAAGTAAACGCAGCGAAATCCTCGTCCCCATCTCCCCTTGACCCTGATGGTTGGTTACCGGTCCGGTTCAACATGAATATTAAAGTCGTCATATACGTTACGATTTACCGAGTGCCAGTGGCGGCTCGTGGGGTTCTTTGAAGGTAGGGTACAAACATTTTCCTCCTTTTTCACTAACCCAACTTTGAATTTACCAGCAATTCCTGTTGATTTTTTAAATATAATAAAATAGTTTGTGTATATTAATAGTTGATGTAAACCTTTTAATATACGCTTTTGATGTATGTTGTACAAAAAATAATAAAAAATCTAAAAATAAGAAAATTATGGTTTAAAAATAAATAATAAATATAATTATACAGTTAATCAGTAATATTTTTGAATTTCAAATCGATTCATCTGTCTTTTTTATTCATGAATACTTTGATGACTTTATTAAATTAAATTAAAAAATATTTAATAAATTACATATTATAAATTTGTAACGTATAAAATAAGAGCATCATCAAATGAAAATACATAACACTTAATCATAGGCGTGCGCAAAGTTTCAAGTCGGGGGCAGCGAATATTTTTATCGGCCCATTCATGAGTATTAAGTTAACATTTTTAAGCTCAATTTTAAGCTTCAAAGCCTATTTAACCCTGCATTACACGCGCACTTGTCTAAATGATTGGGTCAAGATATAATCACATATAAGGTTTAAATTTGTTGAACTATGACTTAATGCAAATAGAACTTCTTGTATTATACATTTTTAAATATTTTTTTTTGAATTTTGTATTTTTAATCATTAAAATAAAACGATAATAACGTTTAAGTGATCTACTTGTCTATTCAACCGTGACGCGTGTAATGACGTTACTACTTTTAGTTGACAAAATATGTTGATACGTTATCAAATAAGTATTTATTTTTAGTATAAATATCGTTCTATGATTTAACATCATGTTGCACTGAATGTAAACATTATTTTTGTAAAGAACACGCAGCACCACCAAAGTGTAACGATTGCCACCAAAATGATAGTTAATTTTTTTATCAAAATAATATTGTTGTAAAATTTTTTTTGTATTAATTTATTCTTTTCATTTCTTACATTTTTTTTTCAGTCATTAATGCATAGTCCATATATTAACATAAAAAGTATTACAATCATACAAATAAAGAAAATTTTTGTTAATATTGAATTTGAGTAAAGATTTTTATACGCGCACAGAATGACCGTGTACGTGTAATCATGTAATAAAATTGGACGCGTATAACGTAGGGTTAAAGTTTGAACATAGAAAAAATTAGCTTGGTAGCAAAACACTTATTGAATAACCAACTTATTTTGTATTAAGCATTACCGTTGCGGTGGCCCAGCTTGGACCAGTTCGGCCCTTACAAATATATTCAAACCGTCCAGGGGCAGCAAGAGCACACCTAGCTGCCCATGTGCGCATGCATATGCACTTAATTAAATAAAAATAATGAACAAAAAATGATTAATAATTATCATGTTCCTATAATCTATTATACATATATATATATATATTTTAAATTCTTCTTTCTTTCAGTTTTGTGGGTGGGGCACGTGCCCGTGTGCGCCATAGCACGAGCTCGCCTCTCAGCGAGTGTTTTATTTTTTATAATAAATTTTTTATCCATTATTTTTATCTGTTCATTTAATTACGATTGCTGTTGATGGTTTTCGTGTTATGCGACATTTGACTATTAACCGTGTGCGTTGGTCGGATTCCAAGTAAAATATTATCAGTTTTATCAAAACCGTTGACAATAATCATATTTTTCAATGTTTTATCGGTACTTCACTCAATGGTTCATCTTACAATATAATGTACGATATGCTACTGTATCGAGTACGATTTTGTAACATAAAAATGTTACAATTTAAAATAATTTTTAAAATTTTCTATTTTATTTATTTATTTATTTTTTAATTCCATCAACGGCTATATTGGCAACATAACATTTTCGTCTTTAGAATTTTTTTTTTCATTTTATAATAACAGCTGATTTAAATATTTACAATACGAATATATGAATACACAAAAATTATATGATAACATTATTGATATCATTTTTCGAGTAGAGTAAACTTAAAACATGTTACTCTATCCTCAAGAATGAGTTTTGAAACATTCAAATTATCGCCTCCGAGGTATTTTGTTTTATATGTCTTGTCGAGGAATATATAAATACGTACGTAAGGATAAATATATAACGTGCATTACGATACGATCACCATGATTCGCGGTGGAAATTAGCAGTTCAAGTTGCTGCAGGAGAACAAGTGAGCTATAATATTATAATGTTTGTACATAATAAGACAGTGGCGCCGAATTCTATGTTTAGGCCAGGACGCGATTTGACCACATTTTTAAAATGAGTTTGGGAATCAGAGGGATCTATGGTTTGCACTTTGCAATGTTCTAACCTCGCGATTGTTGTCGCGAGGAATGTCGGATCGGTGTTTGTACGAAGACGAGTGCTTCACGCCAGTGAATGCGGTTGGCTTTGCGTTACTGCGCATGCGCTAGGACTAGATTATCCGCGACTCGGCACCGTCAGTGCGCACGCAATCATTATCTCATATCACATAATCTCATCATAAATATCATTATTATTTTATTATTTATAAAGTTTTAATTATATACCTAAGTAATGTGAGTAATTTGTTTAAAATTCATTACGGATCATGAATGAAGAAAGTTGGCGAATGACCAAATAAAATAAATAGAGCTTGTCCATAAAAAATTGAAATTACGACTTTGGAATCTGACGGAGTCTCAACTATAATTATCATTATTATTTTATTATTTATATTATTTAAATAATAAAAGATTCCTCATAAGTTTTCCTACATTAAATTGGAAAGTCAAACAATTTTTTATGAGCGTTTGAGGTTAAAATTTTTTTTTCTTATAGAGTTCTAAAATGTAATACTGACACAACTCTAAATATTACTGTTTTACTCAACATATCACACTCTATTTAGATTTTATTTAGTACAAAAACACCACAAATTGAAATAAGGCAGTCTTGAATTTTTACTTTTTTAACTGAATGAATTAAAAAAGTAAACTATCATAAAATAAATATAGTTTTCTTGCTTTGAAAATAATGATAATTATGATGAGATTATGTGATATGGGATAATGATTTCGCGCGCACTGACGGTGCCGAGTCGCGGATAATCTAGTCCTAGCGCATGCGCAATAACGCGGATGCCAACCGCATTCACTGGCGTGAAGCACTCGTGTACGAAGGGAACGGAAACGTTCAAATGTGAATTACCTAAACCATTGATTAATATAATAGTATATTATAAAATCAGTGCCTAAACTAATGATAAAACTATAGATATATAACTATGATAAAATGTTTCGCGGAACAGTACGGTACAGTGTCTGTCGAAACGTTTCTGACTAGTGTGAATCATGCTTAATACTTGTAATTTGAGAACACAAATTATTTTTTTATGCGAAGTAAAAATGTAGGCTTGTGGCCGCCAGGGTGCTTGAGACTGTTGTATTTTTATTTGGCCTGAGTAAAATTTTAGAAGTTCGGCGCCACTGTAATATGATATACAAATGTCTATATATCAGCTGATATTGTTGCGGCAAAAAAATACCACATTTTATAATGCAAAGTTTTACAGTTTATTTACGAATCAGTTTTATACGCTTTGTTACTATTGTATTTAACGGGGGTTTTTTTTCTACTGTATTTCGTTAACTATTCAAAATCGTGTTTTTAAATTCTTGAAAATTCGGTTTTGTCCAGTTTTGATCTCACCATCGAGACAGGTATACCTACCGGAAACATCTTAACAGTAAACATTTCGATATGTTTTCAATAAAATATCAACGATGGGTTTTCTATTCAAATAGTTTTATAAACGCTGGCGTCTAGTCCCGTTCCGTTGACTGCATTCACCTATTCACGGCAATCAGGTAAAAAGAAATTGCAACCTAACAAATATTATATACAAATACTCGCAGACGTGTTAATGTATATCGTTATTGGTGCTAACCATTCGAGACACGCGACACAATATTATATGGCATATTATAATAGATCAATACAATATAAATCATTCAGTTTTTTTTTTCAAACCTACATACGAACTCATAAACAGATTCTTTTAAAATCCCATTTGGGTCTGTCACCATACTGGCGTCAATATTCGGATTTCGTTAAGAAAAATACCAGACAGGTAGACGAAATTAACAGTCTAACCTTACCTACGAAGCTCCATTGTCTATTCGAACCCTTTGATCTCGAAACGGATATATTTTACCGAGTGTGTCAATTTTTGAACTCCCGTGTTAGATAGTTAGTCACGTAATATATTATTTTTCGAGCAAAATTCAAAAATATGCGATTCACTCAAATATTAGGAATAATAGTTATTTTAATAAATAACTCCTAAGGTAAACGCGAAAAAATGTAATTTGAGCATACGATTGGTTGACGTTCACGAGGAAATTCACGTAAATAGCGTTCTTTTTTCAAGCACAAATTTACGTGGCGCTGGCTAAATATTTTTTTCATTACTTCGCGATCGTCGAGATTCGCGTTTTTAACGTTAACGTATAGTCGTACTGATTAACTTATACAGTCCCTTTCCCGTGTTCTCAGGTAGCTTGAGTCATATAGATCTTAATAGAACAAAGTATGTAGCGATGTGATCGGTTGTTCGAGTTTCGTTTTTGCATTGTATATTATGTGAGCTTTTATTAGATACGTATACAATATTATAGCGTGTAATGAACAGCAGTAATCGGGTTTAAACTTCAATAAAAGACAATAACGTTATACATTTTATGAATGCATCGCCTAACCCATATTGCATCGTAAGCGAAAGAGTACTTTTTTTTTTTGTCGAATTGTCAAACGGATATTTATAGCGTTCTTTACGTTTCGATGTTTTCATCACATACTTTTTGCAGTTAATGAGGAATTCGATACTGGTTTAATATAACATAAATGTTTGTATTTCAAGACTCTGAAAGTCTCCCACTCAAATCGCACTTTTGGTTATTGATATACGGCGTACCGCAGACAGTGTATCGATCGAAAACATCTATATTCGTGCACTATACATGTATAAATAAATCAAGCCGTTAACAATGTCGTCAATGTTTTTTCCGACGGAAGGGATGGTACATGCCTGTATACGAGTATACACTGAATCCAGTGCGGAATTCGTTAATGATGTATAACCTAACCGAGGCCGTCTCAGATCGACGCGAGTGGACCACATACACGCGAGCGTATATGTATGGATGGACTTTAGCTGACCCTTTCACGATTCGTATTTTTTCAAACGTTTCAAAATCTATAATAATATATTCCACATTATTCGCGACCGGGTCGGAATCAGCTTTTCCAGCCAATCGTGACTGTATGAATCGATTGTAATGCACAACCGTATTCATATTTACTTATAGGTAGTGCTCCGGGTAACAATGAGTGTGTGCGGATTGATGTCTCACACAACTTACGTTTCGCAATGAAACCTACAAATACGAGGCGTGCGAGTGTATGCCTACAATATTACAGGTGCGCATTTTTATTTTATTCTTCCGCGTATGCGTAATATTGTTTAACAATCGCGTATTATATTAATGTATGGACGCGCATTAACTACAAACACGACGTTACACGCGTGCAGTTTACGAATAACTATCATAAAATACGATCTGCAGTACCCAATAACGATACGATATTATAGTGTAGCGGACGACGGATCGTACACGTGTCCGCGTCAGTCTCGGCGAACTCTGCGTTGCGCGGCTTCGATGGCGGAGGAAGACTCGTTAGCGCCCTCGGCAAACTTAGAAAAAAACGCTTTTTGACCGATTAAAATTTTATGTTTTGATATATTTTTAACCTTTAATTTTAATAATTTTTTTTTTTTTTTTAGCATACAATATATATTTATAAGCAGTGCTCAACTTGGGGGGACGCAGGGGGACGGAGTACCCCTTCTAATTTTTAGAAATTTTAGCGCCCCCCTACTATTAATACGTTATAATTATAACGCTTAACAAGTTTTGGGGACGTAATTTTTTTTTAAGCAAACAGAGTCCCCTTTCTTTAATTTTGCCAAATCAAGCACTGTTTATAAGTAATTATTATAGTGTTAATTTTAAACTTTGAAAATTTGCTTTTCTCGCTTTATGACTGGCAAGTTCATCGATCATTTCTTCATATGAAATTCTTTATTTAAATGCCCTTGTGCTATTTTCATAATTTCGTTGTTAAAATTCACGCGTAGCGTGTTCAAATAGACAACATCTACGCATTTCAATAAAGTATAAAGGAAAAATTTCGATTTTATAGTAGGATATAAATTCGACTTTTGCATAATTTTGCGTCCCTTTGCAATTCGCGCTCCTGGCGTAGGCACAGTTCGCCATAATCTTGCTACGCCACTGCGCATCAGGGCCGTCCCAAGGTTTTCCGGGGCCAGGAACAAAATAATTTGGGGGCCCTTCAACCGTAATAATAAAATATGATAAATTCTTGCAAATGTATTTTTCCAAACCTTAAGCAATGTAGCTCATTTAAATTCATGTATTGCATGTATATTAGGGTGTTCTTTAGCCATATGAGAAAAAAAAAATAATGATATTTTTCTGGTCTCACCCCCTAAATCGGTGTGTATACATATAAAAGTGAACTACAAAAAATTTTAGGTCAATCAAATAAAGTTAACCCGTGCCGACTTGAAGTTAAAGTTTGAGCTTAATACATTTTTAAATAATTTTAGACAATTTTTGTATTTCCGTAAATATTTCGTAAACCATTATGAAAATCGTAATTTTTTATAATATGTTTTTTCAAGTAAATTAAATTTCCAATATATTTTATAATATAACATATTTTTTAATAAATCTATTAATTTAAAAAATGCATAAGCGTAATTAAATATATTCTTAAAAATAATAAAAAAAAACTTACAATATTGAGTAAAATTCATAAAATAAGTGATATCAATTATAAATACAGGCACCATAATTTTAATTATATGTTATGTTGTTGTTGAAGTGTACTTTTTTTACAATTGGGGTAGGTTTTTCGATGTTCTTGTACACACAGTAAGACGTACTGTTTTTGCTCCTCATCTAATGTTAACGATGCATTAAAATTGTCCATCAATTTCACTGTCCTTTCTACAGTATCCTTGATTATTGTTAGTGAATTTATTATATGTTTTGCATTCACGAAATCTGTATTTGATTCCCAAGATTTTGGATCGTTTTTTAAGAAGCCATCATTAATTTTGAATCGAGAAAATAATTTCAAGCTACTCTCTGATAGAAATTCATCAATATTTTTTTCTGAAAAAATTGGTAAATTGATTGTTTATTGTTTTATATTAATTTTAAATTTTTTACATTTAAATAAACTAGATATTTTACTTACCTAAAAATGTATTATCTATTTGGTTTGGTTGAATAATCAATCGTTTAGTCGGGTTTTTTATTGGTTTTTTTTTTAGAGCTTTTACCATCTGACGCTTTGTCTCAAGTGGTATAGAATCATCAAAAAAAGATACATTGTATATACATATGTACATACGTGCATAATAGAATTGAATATTATTCGTATTATCATTGATTATTATTATTATTATTATTATTATTATTATTTATTTATAATCAATGGTATTATTTATCGCTCAATATAATCGGATAAGTTGCTACACCTTCACGCGTGCGTGATTTTAATCGCCGACACGCAGCGTGTAATACTGTGTGATCGAAGCTTTCTTATTGATCATTTTACATCAAGACTTTATGGGGGCCCCTAAAAATATTCCAACAACAGGGCCTGGGGCAAAATGGTCCCGTTGCCCCTTTCCCCTCTGAACAGCCCTGCTGCGCATCTTGACGCTGCAAGACTTGCATGTGAAACGAACTTCGACGCTGCACGTTTGATAGAGCATCGTTCACAGGAATTGTAAAATGCGTACACGTTGCGACATCGAACACTGCAATATTGTCAACGTAACACTCGACGAGGTATGATGATGAGAAAAATATTTTTACCAGTTTTTGCGTTTAACAGACTGCTGTGCTGGGTTGGGACTTATCTAGATAAATTGATCTAGATAAATTATCTAGATAGATTTTTTGTTATCTTTTATCTTATCTAGATAAATAACGCTGTTATCTAATTACTTATCTAAGATAAAATTTTTACTTATCTAGATAATTGTCTGTATTCTTGCCAAGATTAGAGTTATTTTTATTCTTGTACGAAGACGAATCTAATAAATCAAAAAACATCAAAATCGATCTAGCCATTCTTGAATTATATATTCTGTAACTAACCTGACTTTCTTTTATGCGTACAAATTTTGTATTCATAATCATAATTCGTGTATTATAAATAAGTAATTATTATTTCCTGATATGACATTTTGTTCGTATTTTCATGTCGGGAAAATATTTTTAGTATTTTTAAACCTAATTTCTTATTTTTCCATGGAAGTTCCAAATATAGTAGGTATTTGATTTTAGTATACACATGTAACTCATACGCTGAATAGTCATTACTTCACTCTTGGAACCTTTAAAGTCGTAACTACTTATAGAATAATGAAAATCATTAAATTAATATTATATTGAATACAACATTGTTGACTTGAAATAATTTTTTCATGTATTTTATATTCATTTTGATACGTACAGAGCAAATTTCCTTTTTTTTTTTTAGTGTAACATTTTAGTGATTAACTATCATTAAATACTGTACATTATATATAAATACTGCTTAATGGTACACTTCATTACTATAATAAACATTAAACAACTTGGTACCTATTGATAATAATGATTATAATTGAGTCTTCATAGATATTAGAATATGAAATATTGACCAAAAAATAACAATTTTTGAAAATATCTTTTTTTTTTATCTAGATAAAAATGAAATTATCTTTTATCATTATCTAGATATTTTAATTTTTTTTATCTATTATCTTCATCTAGATGAATTTGGACATATTATCTTTCATCTTTATCTAGATAAATTTTGCTTTATCTATTCCCAACACTGATTATCGTTTCATTGTCTAGTCAATTCGTATAATCGCATTGTTGTCGCTTTGTCGTTTATCGAACAATATTATTCTAGTGCATCAAAACCACTGCGGTAGATAGGATTGTAGAACGTCATTGCAGCGTAATAATTTAAATACTAGCATGTTATAGTTCATCCGCATTTAAAAACGACGTTAATATAGACCGTAAAATCGCGTTTAACAAAAATCAAAATATAATTTTTATTTTGTAATAAATATCACCATGTATTTTATGCGATATCTGTGTACCTACTACTGATGTTATACAGACATTTTATTTTTATATTTTCAACATTTCATGTTAATCGGTAACCATATTTACTTTCATTTTTATACGTTACTTTTTAATTTTAATTTTCAGTTAAATTTTGAACTCAAAGATATATACCCCCACACACACACACACACGTATATATATATAAAATATTATACTTAAGCGTTTTTTGAATTACATATATTTTTGTAGCTCGCCCTCTTCTTGTAATCATTCCATCGCCCACGGAAAAACTATTGAGTTTATTTTTCGAACAGTATTGGACATAAATATGAATTATACTTGTAGTTTACACCAATATAGTATAAATCATAACGGTACAGCAGTGCTCCGACGTTTGAATACGCGATGAGCGGTCACTGCAACCACGATTGATGGGGGTAAAAAGATCCGGGGGCACGTGGAGTTTCAAAAAATTCATTGACGTGTAACCCGGTGCGTCCGAATTGCATGTCAAAAAAATAAAAAATGAACATAAATTGGAATATCCGAATTGCATGCCAGGTCCCAGAGGATTCTGTCCGAATAGCATGCTACGTCTTAGATGTGTATGTCCGAATTGCTAGCCGGAAAGTCATGTGTTTGGGCAAATTTTTAAAAATTGCAATGTGTTTGGGCAATTTAGCATTTAGCCTTTTTATTAGAAATTTTTAAAATTTAATTTTTAAGTTAAAGGTATGTATACGTACGGTTTGTATAAACATTTAATTATGTCCAATACTAGATAACAATATTATTATATCGACAAGATAGAGTATTGACTATAAATATAGTAACCTAACCTAACCAGGGCCCCGCGCCTTAAATTATAATTAAGGCCCCGCGGTTCTGATTTAACTGAACTTAAAATATTTTATTAATACAAATTATAAGACCTAACATTTATTTTACCCGGGGCCTCGCAAACTCTAGCACCGTCATTGCGCGAACATATGGACATTGTTCGTTAGGTTGTTGTTGACTATGTTCACATATTCGCGGCACACCCTGTAGATACTCGTGTACTGTAATTTACCGTGCAACGTGTGTCGTGTTCTGCAAATGATCATTCAAAGCGTTGTTCTCCCGGAGACGGCGTAGGCAGTCCGTTACGCACACCGTGAGGTACATCATCGTGGTACACATTGTATATTCACTCGGTTTATACATCCAACTGTACGAAACGTTGGGAAACAATAATGGTAGAATCTTTGTGGCGATAATTATCGTCGAAAAAAAAAAGCATCGCATGATAATTACTTCGCGAACACACGCTGAACAGATTATTTTTATTTATTTTTTTGTTTTCAACGCGTGATCCGTTTCATTATCACGGCTCCTAGGAATCAACGAGATGCGACTAATCGATGTGATACGACGACGGGTCCCGACGTACGTCAGCGCGTGCGTGATAACTTGCACACGGGCCATTTGAACATTGCGCCATCATTGCGGTTCGTAGTATCACACGCGCGCAGACACTCGCACGTAATTACAATACTATGTACTAGGTCAACTATGGTAATTTAATGGTCGATCGACTGCAATAAAAACGATGCCACATGCACGCCGCTATAATTTTACCAATTTCACTATTGCGTACGAATGTTAGTCGCACTCAGGGAGGTTCAGGGGTGTCGACTGACACCCCTCAGAGAATTGGTGGATGGCTAGTTCTGTGTGAACTTGTATGAATATTTGTTTAATTTAATACTAACCAATTTTTCAGCTATCCAAATCAACATAATAATTATGTTTACCTTAGAACTAAAGCGTCACATGAGAATAAGTAGTAAGGCTCAATCCCAAAAATTATGCTGTACAAACTTAACAAACGTATTATACGGTCTAGCACGCGGTACAACGTTCAATTTTCAAATAGTTATTGACTCACCGTGATGAGATGTTGAAACGTTATATAATATCGTTTCAACAACTCGCTCGGAATGCGACTATTATTACCACTCTCACAAGCATCATGACACCGTATGTTAGACGAGGCGTAGCCCACAGGTATAGGGTCGTTCAGGTTGACTCGACCAAACCTAAATCGAATCATAGGCACAGCCGAACTACACGGGTCGCCTAAATACCGCCTGTACAGGAAGGCGCTTTCCGCTCAGAGTCTCATTACGTTTTGTTGAGGAAATCGTGTTGCCGGAAACAATATGAATACGGTTTATGTAGAATTGTTGAGTACATCTTCAATCAGAAAGACCACCGAGACCAACACGTAGTGGAAAGCGCGTTAAACACACGTAGGTTTTCCGTGTTAACTTGAATCCGCGTGCTGCCATTAACGTTTGTTGTAAAAACATGTTGTACAAGTAACTGAAAAGCATTATTTATTAAACAATTGTTTCGCGTACACAAGTTTCAATTAAGATTATTGATGTCTAATAAATATCGGAAATGTAGCACGCTTGCAAAACAGCCTTTCGTTGTTATTGTTCTGTGTACCGTTAGCGTTGAAGATTGCAAAGTCCGAGGCAAAAAGTAGCGCATGTATTTGACAAAACTGTGTACGCGGGCGACGAAAAAATTATATTTAAAACAACAAAATTCTTTAAACAGTGGACGTTTCAGCACGCTTTGCCGTTTTACGCGAAAAAAATAAATATAAGTCTCGTATGTTTGAATACTTGGTAACATATATGTATATATCTGCAGTACGCTCATACACACACACACACACACACACACACACACACACACGAACACCGGGTACGTGCGTACAATAGAAATGTCACACATTCATGTTGCGGGGAGAAAGGATAAGACGCTACGAGTCGACGGGTGGTCGGCGGAGGCGGCTGCGGTAAAAGGATGCGCGCGTGTGAAAATCCGTCTTATAAATTATTGCGCAAACGTCGCACGGTCGAGAAACGGTCCCGCGAAAGGAGAAGGAGAAGGAGCAGCGAACGCCGCCGTCCGATTTGCATATAAATAAGCTTCTCTTCCGCCGTCGACCAACAATAATTACTCAAGGGCCCGGTCGCGGCGGCCGGACGAGACAAGACAATCGCACCACGGCCGTCGGAATTCCGCCGGAGTGCAAAAATAATAATAAAATTAAATTCAAACGGTTTGCCGCGGCGGCGGCGGGTGGTAATTGACGCGTTTGTTTTGTCTCCCGTTGACGCACAATGCCGTCGAGATGTCGTCTTCTCGC